AAGAGTTAAATGTCTTCTTTGTCGAAGCAAGAGAAGGATCACTTGGTAATCTTGAGTACTGCAAAAGCCCTTTTTGGGATTTTTGTTGATGGCAAGAAAAAGATAGAAAGTTAGTTAACCAGAAGCCAAGGATATTATGCCGTTGGACAGTTCGAAGTTGGGCTATGCTGCACACTTTGAAGGTGTGCGCGCAGCCGATACCAAAGGATATACTTACACATTTGTCATCATTTATTGTGAGGTTCCAGTCTGATTACAATGCCTTGGTGATATCCATTGCTGCCTGCACTGCTAATGTGTCCTTCCCCAGATTATGACATCGTCAGTATAAATAGCAATGTGGACTGGGATTTTGTCCGGAAGGTAATTTACGTACAAGATGAAAAGAAGAGGACCTAGGATCGACCCCTGTGGAACACATCTGGTTAACGGGGTAAAGTTGGACAAGGAATTTCCTGCTCTAACAGAGAAGAAGTGTGAGGATAAAAGGCCGCCTAGAAGGTTAAGGAGCATGCTGCTTATACCATTTTCAGATTGTGCGTCAGTGGAGAATGCGGCACTCGATCAAAGTCCTTGGCAAAATCTATGAAGATGGTGTGTGAGAGTTTACCATCATCATAGGCCTGGTTTAAACATTCCATGACACAAAGTATATTGGTGATGCATTATCTACCAGCAACAAAGCCGTTTTGAAAATAGGAAAGAAGTTTGTTGTCTTTCAGGTGCTCAATAATATGTCTCTTAATGAGACGTTCACAGATTTTACTGGTGACGCTTTTTTGACTTAAAGGTTTGTAGCTGCTGGCGTGATGCCGGGGTCCCTTTTTGTAGATCGGTGAAATGGTTGCATTTTTACAGTCAACAGGGAATTCACCTTTATTTAGGCAGTTCTGAAACTGCCACTTGTAATGCGGGGCTAGTGCAGTTGCAGTCTCCTTCAATATTCTGGGATGAACCTCGTCCGGGCCCACTGAGCTAAAAGGGTTTAGTGAATTTAAAAGTTTTAGTACTTCTTTGGTCTCAACAATGAAGTGTTCATTAGGAGCTATACCTGACTTAGGCTGTAAAGAAGGGCAAAAACTAGGTGGAGCGAAATTGAAAATATCTCAGGAGTGAGTTTGGAAGGTATCCACTATCTCGTCAGGTGAGTTAATTGGGTAGCCGTTAGGAAATTTCAGGGCTAGAGCAGAGGAACTGGGTTTTCTTTTAAAACGAAGACGTTTGAAGAGGAAGGAGGAATTTTCTCTTACCCTGACCAAGATGTTCTTTGTTGCTGGTTGAAGAATTTCCTGATTTTGCTCTTGCATAGGTTCCGGATACGTTTGAATTTATCCGCGTCAATATCCAAATTTGTGAGCTTATACCTTGCAAAGGAGACGTTTTGTTCGTCTAGAAGTCGTCGCATGAAAGGTGGTAGAGGATGGCGGTTTTTGGTTGATGTAAATATTTTGGGAACGAACGAGCAGTCGCCTGTTTGCAGCACCTTATCAATTTGATCATTGAGTACATTTGTTTATGAAAATACGTTGACAATAGTCAAAGCCAAGTAATTTTAGAGGAGCGAAGTTGGTCTGTTTGAAGGACCGCAAGGTTGTTGGTGCTGGATTATAAGAGGGCCAATGCACGGTGAAGTCGAAGTTCCAAAGTGAGTGGTCGCTCTTGTCGAGTGGGCAGAGAGTGTGGGCCTAGTTGATTTGGTGCCGATCGTTCGTTATCGCCAGATAGAGTAGAGAAGGGGACTGGCCGGGGCGGAACCTGGTGAGAGAGCACACATGTTGTTGCAAGATCTCTCAGTAATAAGATCTAGAATTGGCTGACGAAAGCAGACATCATTGGAGTTTGTCATGACCCAGTCAATGGCTGGAGAGTTAAAGTTACCGGTTACAGGAACATATGTAGAGAGGCAGCAAGGCCAAAGAAAGTGATGTTGGCGCCTGTGTCTGGTCGCTGGTCGGGGAGCGATAGATGACTCCTAGTAACAAGCAGTCTCTGCTAGAGGAAGATATTTTACCCATGAAGGGTCTATCATGCGGATGGGATCCTGGGGAACTGGGTTTGCTGGAGGGAGGGATTGGTTCAGGTAGATAGCCACACCACCAGCGCGGCCTTGTTTCGAGTAGCTACTCAAAAGTGTATAACCATCTATTTTGACTGCCCTATCTAAGATATCTGGTATTAGCCATGTCTCTGTTAGAGTTAAAATTCGTGTCCGAATATCTTTTATATTTTGTCTGAGTTTAAGTACCTTATTGTCAAGGCTCAAACAGTTGGTGTACATGCATTTTAGCACTTGCTCACCAGAACTTTCAAGAGGTTTAGGATAAAATGGGTTTCTTGAGCCTGGGTCTCCATTGGAGTTACGTTTTGAGGCAAGAAGGTTACCTACTATGGGATAAAGTTATGGGAGGGGATGGAGTATCTGTATGCAGTACGACACGTTGAAAAGTTTGGGGAAAAAATACGAAATGTGAATAACACCATGGGACGGAGAGATGTTCACTGTTCAGGGATTAGACCTAACCTGATTAGACCAGGATATAGGTCTAGATTCCTTAAGAAAGTGGATTTTAAGGGGGCATTCTCTACTTCTTTGGGGAGAATATTCAAAAGAGAAATGACCCTGTAGGTGAAAGAGCAATGTCGGATTAGTTTAGCGGCATGCAGTTTAAAGAGTTCCATGCTACGCTCGTGAAGACTATCCATACTAGTGCATACAAAGAAGTCATCGGCCCTGCCGGAATTAAAGAGAATGTACAGTAGAAAGGTGTCACCTCTTATGCGGCGGGTTTTGAAAGGCTCCGGACTCAGGATGAAAATGTGTGTAGGGTAATGGGTGGAGGACAAGCCATGCACAGATTTTGTCGCTCTTCGCTATATACGCTGGAGGGCCGTACAGTTGCTCAACAAGCAGGAGTGAGCAAGTTGGCTTCCGTATTCTAATAAGGTCCGAATGTACGTGCTGGGTTGTTCGGGTCAGTATCAACATTGAAATAGCCCAGTCTTTTGATCAGGAATTCTCGTAGAAGAACGACATCGGCCCTTTTGAAGGAACGTAGAATTCTGGAAGAGAGCCTTCGGGTAGAACAGCAAATAATATAATCAAAGGATAGCAGGAGAAAATCCCTTTTGCCAACAGGACTTAGATACGAGATAATGTCTATCCGGTGACTTTCGTTGATAATCACAAGATAAATCAGAGAGGAACGTTAGCCGACACGAGCTCTCTTGGGAGATACTACGCGTTGGTACCACCAGTGTTCATTGAAGAGGTTTATAAGGGGAGCACCAAGCATTCTATCTCTAGAGTAGCATCTGGGCGAGTCAATACCCGGGGCGTTTAAGTCACCCAGGATAAGGAGGTGGGAAAAAGTGCAGTTGGGACGGAGGTCTCGAAGCTCAGTTAGAAGTGACTGACATTCCTCCTGTGCACTACATGGAGAGTGATAAAGACCCCCCAGCCAGAGTCAGTCTCTGGTCGGGGAGATGATGTTGACCCATAGGATCTCAATCGATTGGATGGTAGGAAGAAAAACACGCAAAGCCGGTGGAGGGGAATCATTAAGGAAGAGAGCCCCTCCACCCACATGACCACGGTGTGAGTCCGGTCTGGACATGATGAACCCTTCGATCAATATTTCACCATTTAGTATCTCTTGATGGAGCCATGTCTCCGTTAGGGCTATTATTTGTGGCTCCTTGTCACGTGCCAATTGCCTCAGTTCAGGAACTTTATTAGCTGCACTGAGGAAATTCGTTGATAGACACTTCAGCACCTGCTCACTATGCATTTCAGCAGGTCTAGTAGGATGGATGGGGTCGTAGGGTAGTTTTGCCGGGGGGTCGTTTCGACCCTTTTGTTCCCAGGGTTTCGTGTCACCAGCGACAGCTTCTCGGAGGGCGGTGCCATGTGTTTGGCAGGCATGTTTCGCACCGGCGAGATTGACGTGCCACATTTTTGGGATTTCCTTCTCTCTGGTGGGCAAGAGTGGTCCAATGGAGAGAGAAAAGGGGGCTGAAGTGTAGTATTTTTCCTCCAGTTCTGTCTGGTTAACTAACTCTCTATCTTTTTCTTGCCATCAACAAAAATCCCAAAAAGGGCTTTTGCAGTACTCAAGATTACCAAGTGATCCTTCTCTTGCTTCGACAAAGAAGACATTTAACTCTTATATGGTACTTACGTAAAACCGCTATTAGAATAGGGAGCTCAAATTGCGTGCTCTGGGCTTGTGGGTGATCGTAACTCCCTCGGACGAGTTCAGCGAGCAGCTACAAAGCTAGTGTCAGGTCTCTTCCATGTCTCATACCCAACCCGTATCATACACACTGAACCTTTAGCCTCTAAACACCCGCCGCAGCAAAGAGGACCTTTTACTTCCCTACCACTTATTTTCTACGGCCACATACAACCAGTTTTTCACCCTCTGTAGCCTAGATACGCTTCCTGGTCACAGCAAAAAGCTGTTCAATCCACAGCTCCGTGCCCTAGTCTGTGATCTAGCTGTTTCTTTGTGGATCGATTTCATTTACCTCTACCATTGTTTTAGGATAATACATTGTTAGGCTTACTACCTTACAGCTAGTTTAAGCTTGACTCGGGATGCGGAACTTTGCAAATTCGACCTTGACGGTAATAGTGGTGTTAATCGTCAGTCATCATCGTCGCTTTATATCGGTCGCGTTTACATTGCTCGAGATGATATCTCTCTTGTCTTTTGCGAACATCAAACTGAGCAGAGTTTGCTTGTACTGAAAACCATTTAAAACTTTTTACACTGTGAAGTTGCGTTCACAGTAGTTATATACCCGATCCACATTTTTTGTATTTTAGTACCAAGTACCTTTTCTGGTTACCCTTATATTAATTTCGGTCTTTTTCTCGGTATCTTAGCTTTCACAACAATTAGCTTTTCCTTTGTTCTCCGTGTTCAACAATGTTGCATGCTTCTCTTACACATTTCG